CCTGCCCCTTCCTGCCGCCGCGAGACTGCACGGGGTGGAAAACAGGCTTGAAATCAGCGGGGTATGGGCAAAATAATTTTTTTTTTTTCTTTCTCTCTGATTTCAGGGGGTTCCTAAAACCCTGACCAGAGGTACCGGATGCGCTTTTCGGTGCCTGCAAAACACTGGTTTCAGTTGTTTTTTAAAACCTATATATTTTCCTACAGGTGCCGAATGAACCCAGGGCCTCTAGAAGAGAACCCTTGTGGTGATTTTTATACAGAAATGATAGAGATCTCTCCCCCCCCCCGATATTTGGGACCAGATGATGCCTATCAGCTGTAATGTAAAAAACTGTTAAGGTGGATTCAGGAAGGTCTTGAGTCACGTCCCTAACTCCTAGGACATAAGTAGAGCGAAAACTGTCTCAATCACGTTAATGTGCCGTTAACTGCAAAGCCTTTACTTTCATCCTTAAATGCTTCTCTGTATGGAAGTACAGTGCCTCTGGAAGAACGGCCCTGAACCTTCAAGCGCGCCTGACTTGACTCGCACGCGCGCGCTGTGTACGGCTGACTGTGTATTAGGTTCTCGCCCGGGCAATGGAGATCTGTGCTTTACAAGCTGCAAAATTGTCCCACCAGTACTGGAAAGCTTCCCGTGATAAAATTAGGTGTTTGTGTGTCTGCAGGTTTAAGGCTTTGGCAAGTGAATATGTTGTTCTAGTTTGTGACACAGGATAGCTGCATAGTTGTGACATTTTACACTCTCTTGCAGAGATTTTGGTCTGGGAATAGATTCCTAGTTATTATGGTAATTTAAATAAAAATCTGTATACTTGCAGTTAGACTCTACAGAGAAATAAAAATGGTTACTGGCTAGTTCAAGCCCATCGTTTCCCCTTCTTTTAGGCATACCACGAGGCATGCAACTCTTTCCTCCTTTTACTATGGCCTGAGAAGTCGGAATTTGGTCGGCTTTGGGTTGTCCGAGGCAGGAGGAGAACTTGTTGGAAGTGGGCGCTGCTGGTGGAGCTGTCTGTATCAGGACAGGGAGTACAGGGACTGTTTTTCTTGCACACACAACGGTGAAATAGGGATTTCTTTGGTCACTGCGCTTGCATCCATTACTTTGGTTTCCCTGTTAGAAGTGGCTGCCTTCCTTTCGCTCCCATCTTGCCCACTCAGCACAGAAAGCAGCTTAATTAAAATACAAAGACCCCACATTATATACAAATCAGAAGACAGGATGGAAAACTGAGAGTCTTCCATGAAGTGTGGAATTTGTTTCGGTTCAGCTGCCCTCCGCATAAACCCCTTCCTCTTTCCCGTGCTGACCCTACATGCTCTGATTGTGCAAACATGCCTGTTCTTCAGTGTAACTCCTATGAATGGCTTCATTGTATTCAGGTGAAGTGATTAAAAGAGGAGAGTTACCACGTGCCTCAGTATCCCCTGAACTATCTGTACTGTAGATCAAAGTGTAACTTAGAGATATACAAACTAGATTTGAATGAGTTGGAGCCATAAACCCCTGTGTCCAAGATCAATACCCAGCTTTCTCTTTTATTTTATTTTTTTCCTTTTTTAAAGCTACAAAGGTAGAAGTAATTGTATGTGATGTGAGAAGTACAGTGAAACGATATTCTGTCTTGGCATTTGTAGCTGCTGCTTCCGTTTGAATAAGAACAATAGTGTAGAATGGATTAAAACTCTAGGGGTTTCTTAGGGGCTTATTTTGTAACTAAGGCATTACAAGAACTAGAGTGTGCTTTCGATATTATGCTGTATCTGACTGAGCTTCCTTGCTGATTTCTGTTGCTTGAGAATCATGATTTCCTATTTAAATAAAAATCATACTCCTGTTGCTATGGAAGAGATGGGAGTGGTGGACTTGGTGTGAAGGCAATGATAATGAAACCGATCAGGAGGCATAAAGCAAACAAAAAAACCGTAGCTCTTCCTCCTCCCTCTGTTCTCTTCCCATTTCAGATGTTTTAGCTGAGACTTAACAACTTCAAGATAAAAAGCCCAGGCATAGGTAAGGCACTTAACTTCATGACATTTTTAGAACTCTAATACAGCAGCACTTACAATAAAGTCGTGTGGTCTCTGTACATATGCGCATGGCTGATGTTTTAAGCTAAGTAAGGCTGTCAGGTTGCTTCATTTCCTCTAAAGCAAATAAACATTTTGTGGAAGTAGGAGGCCAGAAAGGATGGCTGACTGGTAGTTTTTCCTTGTATGTATTTCAGAGGTGGAAAGGAGATGAATTTGTCGTTTGCGCTCTGTGGCAGTGTTCACGGGAATGACAGTCACTCCTGACTACCAGCTGGCAGACTTGTTCACTGACTGTCGTAGCTGCAGTCACAACTTCTGAGTGACTAAACGTCTGGAGAGCTTTTTGCCTGCTATAGATATATTCTGAATAACCCCAGATCCAGCTATCCTATTGGCAGGTTTGCTTTTAGCCTGCATTTTAGCTGCCGCTGAAGGAGGCGACTGCTATTTATTTATGGGTTCAACAGGCCCTTGTGCAAAACAGGCCGTATGGCCTATATGTTCTGAAGATACCGGTGTATTTGTGCATATGCGCTATCGACTCTGCTCTTCTGTCCTGGCAGTGTGTAACTGGGAAGAAAATGTGCTTTGTTAGTGCAAAGATAAGTCTGTGGTTGGCCAGAAATGAGGACAGAGTTTGAGCAAGACAGAATGACGTTTAGGTACCTAGTATAAAATCTTGGCAACAGTAAAGCTCTTGTTAGAGCCCTAATGTTTTAAACATGGCTTGCAAAGAGGATTGGGTAAAAAATTGGGCCCGTGCCCTTGTTTGTTGCTATTTGATTTATAGACAGCTCTCTGGATATTCTGTTAAAAATGACACTTTTTACTTAGTTTTGCATTGAAGATTCAGAGGTTGCCTCCTTGGGAAAACTCAAGTTTCAAAAGAACTTGTCCGATTTTGACATGATGAGAAATGTCTTTTGAAACTTCATACTTTGTTTGAAACTAGATTTTTTTTAAACCTCTTTAAAGTGTATTTTGAGCCCATATGCCTAGTGTGTCCTAAGGTGAGAGGATGCCTGTGTTAATGACTGTAAACTTCCTAAATAAGATGTAGGAATTTGAAAAGGTACCCCTGCGATCCACAGAAAGTCCAGGGAAGATGGCATTTGACATTCCCAATAAATCAAAGGTTAAAAAAAATAAGGAGAAAAAGGTTTAATGAAAGGGAAATTGATTTTTCAACGGTCCCTTCTGATTTCATTAAAAATCCTTCACTCACACGTAGGAAGGAAACGCTTAAAGATATATTCAGAGAATATTTAATGCTCTGGATGAGAAACTTCTTTCTGCTTCTGGTGGAGTTATTGGTGCCACTAATAGCACTAGTAAATGTGCTGTGGTTTGGCGTGGGCATAACTCTGGGGAAAACATCACAAATCAGTTTTGGTTTCCACTGCCCTGAAACAGTTTATTTCATTAAACATATTGTTCTCTTCTACTACAAAAGCAACTGCTCAATGATACTCACGGTTGCTTGAGTAGTATAATATGAACTTGGCGTTCCTCTTTCAAAAATGTCATCAATCCAGGGGAAGGTGAAACCACAGTTTAGTGGATCTAAAGGTGTCAGGAGAAGAAAATGCATTGAGAGTATCTCAGTGAGCCTGCTCTTTGTGTATGTCTTGTCGGCCTCTTAAAGCACACTGAGAAAGTTTGCGTGTGAAACAGAGCGTGTGTATTTTAACTTTCCGCGGCCAGTCCTTGGGAAGCTAGTGAAGGACGTATGGTGTTCTGCACAGAAACAGTCCACAAGTGTGAGCATTTGCTTGTAGTTTATAGCTGCGTGAAGTTTTATTCTTCTGGCTCTTTCACAGGCAGGTTTATAGCTGGATTCTCTTGCTCCTGTAGAAAATTGAAATGGTAACCATACCGCTCCGTACAGGACCATTATTCTGTTGATTAAGGTTTCTAAATCAAAAAAAAAAAAAAAGGCTTAACTGTGCACTAGAAATATAGTCTTCGTTTAATAGTATCATTTATTTAGCTTTCTTGTTTCTGTGACGTGATCCTTTTTTTGATTAATTTGTAATATGGTAGGTAGAAGTATGCTGTTGAATTTGAGTACTGAGAGATCATTCTTCCATTTTCATGTTTGCTTGGAGATGTTGCTGTCTTGTCTAATCCTTTTACTTTCAATTCTAAAATTCCTTTAGGGGAAAAAAAAATCCTATTTTAAACCCAGCCCTTGGCTACCTGTACTGTATTGGTGCAGGTAGCAGCATTTTGGAAGGTCTGTTACTTGAAAGCCAGCTTGCAGTACAGGACCCTGTTCAAAGCTTGTATAAGCGGGTGGTGAAACCTTGCAAGAGTACAGTGAGCTGCACCAGGACAGACCCAGCACTGTCAGTCTCCTTTCCCTCCGTGCATGGGACTGGAGACACTGCAGGTGTTCCTGAATGCAGGGTGCAATGCTGGTGTCAAATGGAGCATATTTTCTGTCTGGAACGGTGACTGTTCCTATTTCCTTTTGAAATAGTAATAGTTTCAGCTAGATTTCAGTAGATAATTTCAGCTTGACCTGAATATTGTTTCAGTTGCATATTGGAGATATCAGGAATAATCCCAATTAAGTTTTGAGGGAGTCTCTAGCTTGATCTTACTAGTTTTTTCATCTTACCTATCCAGTTCACTTCCGACTTCCATCCAGCACTACTCCAGAGACCACAGGGAGCCGTTGAATATTTGGGTACTTGATTTTGGAAAAGGGAATCCTTGGAAGGAACAAGAATCTCACTTGCAGTACTTAAAATAAAGGCAGGGCAACTGCTTGTGTGCAGTATCAAGTTCTACTGCAAGCCCAAGCTCTCTGAGTTCCCATAGAGGGTGATAGAATAGCTTTGCCACCTGGCAACCGAGGTTTTGTCTTAATTTCTCAAAAGCTAGGGCTATTTTACTGGAGCGAAGTAAAGCTCACTAACTCTCTTTGTGCTTGAAGTTTTGTCTAGTTTCCTGGTTGGCTCTTACAAACCCCAGGTTGTCCCTGCATCCGGGCTGGCTCCTTTCTCCTTTCCTTGCTATTCCCTCTGCCATTCCTGCAGATTTCTTACGACAAAAGAGAGGTCAGTGGTGTGAATTGTAGTGAACAGAGCTTTGCTTCGTAGGAAGCCGTTAAGAGAGATTATTGTGATGTTCTAGTCTGGCCTGCTGGGTAGTACAGAATCCAGAATTTCTGTGAATGAATTCCTCCTTTCTTCAAGAAAACCACCCCTTTTTCTGCTCTCGGAGATGGTGAGTTCATGGCATTCTGTCCGCCGTAGACACAGTTTTGTCCACAGTGGCAGATGCTTTGGAACAGAGTATAGGGAGCAGGCCGAGTCCTTTCCTGTGTTTTATCTTCCTGACGGCCAGCCCTTAGTTCCACTTTTGATACCCCAGTACCTTTGAAAACATCATCACCAACAGCAGTCTCGGAGTGGGATTGTTTCTGGAGCAGCCATTTTTAAGCCCCCAATTAAACATGAATTAAGTCTATTTTTCAGTTTTCGTGGCTGAAGTGGATGAGGTTTGTAAAAACAATATGCTTAAACTGAATGTATTAATTGGAACTATAAGTATGCAAAACCAATACACGTTATTTCTTTCATATTGCAGTAGGTGATGTCTGTGCAAACTTGTATCCTCCCAGAACAGGAACAGTATCGTGGTAGGGCCTGTCCTGTGTCCTCTTGAAGTGGGAGTCTTTGCATTGACTTTCTGGAGCTTTGAATTGGATGCTCTGAGAGGGTCAGTTAAAAGCCTTTGTGTCCATGCCTGAACTCTGCCTATATTTTCCGCCCTAGGCAAATTCAAAATACTCACACGGGGCTGGATTTGTCAGTGCCAGAATACCAGGAAATCCATGGGAAGTTGATGTCTGGCCACGTAGAGTACCACATTGTCGTCGTTACCCGACTGGCTGCCTTCAAATCAGCAAAGCACAAGCCTGAGGATGTGGTTCAATTTATGGTAAGTGTTTAATCAGTGCTGTGTTAGAGATCAGTTTTTTTTCTTTCTTTCTTAATCAGCTTTGATTATTTTGGTCCTGATGTAACAGGTACTTTGTCATCACAGCCTCCCTGTTTCAAGGTCCTTGATAGGGCAATGCAATCTGTACCATTCCTGCAATAGCAATATTATACATCTGTTAATTGAACTTTTCATTCCAGGAGCTCAAAGAGGCATTGACTATTTGTTATTGCCTTTAAGGCTTTTTGCATTATGGGTGCAACAAATCGAAACCGATTAAGGTTTTTAGAAGCCCTGCTAGAAAATTACTTTCTCTAATGTATGCATAAGAAGTAGGCCTTAGTACATAAAAATGAAATGTGAAATAAATATGTAATAGTTTACTTGGATGGAAAGAGAGTCCCATGGGGTAATAAAAGGAATTAACCTTGCAGTAGCTTCATATGTGAGGCTTGACGTGGTTTTTAAACTCATTAATAAGAGTGGTCTACAAGTGTCAAACATCAGTGAATTGGATTATCTTTTTCATGATACCTGCAAACTAAATGTTTGAAAATGTGGTGCATGAGATTCGTCTCACCTGGTTTACGTAATCTACAGCATGTACGCATCCATTTGAGCTGTCTCACCCTGGGCTGTCTGTTGAGTTGATGGGAAGAGGTGCACTCAGAGTCCGTTTCATTGATCTGCTTTAGATGTGCACTGTAGACTGGAGCTGAATCGTTCCGTAGAAGTGCCTTTTTCTGCACGTTGGCTATAAAGGGACTGTGAGGGCTATAAAGCTCCTGTATGCTGTGAGCTTCTACACTTGTCAGATGTTTTGGTGATAACTGCCATGTTGGAGTGATGAGTGTGGTTACCTGGTTGACACAACAGGCTGTTAGCCCTAGTGTAACTCACAGCCACTAGGGCATAGTTCATAAGTGGATATGTAAACAGCCTAGTTTGCCACTAAAATAACATCTGTTAATGTTGTGTAGAGATACACAAAGAGAAGAGAATCTCTGACCTTTGTTCTCGCTCCCCCAGAGCTTCCTTCTTTGTGCCTGTTCTAGTTGTCATGTGGCCTTTCTGCAAAGTGAGCTGAGGAACTGGTCCTGGCTAAAAATGGGCATTTGGGGGTTTGCTACCTGATTCTGATTTATACCAGTTTCTTGCGTGTTGTGCAGCTGCATTAGTTTCTGCTGGCACAGGGGATGGGTCAGAGATGGACAGATGAGTAGGGCATGTGGGATCACTTTCTTTTGCAGCTGTGCCTGCTTATACTATCTCCATGCAGCTCTGGAGGAAAGAACCTGACTAAAAACCAGGTACTTAACTGGCCTATTGTCATCTAAGAGAAACAGTAGGTAAAATCGTCTCTTCTACAAAGAGGGGAAAGAGACTTCCTACTGTGGCCCCCCTGCTTGCTGAGGCTGTCCATTCCCACGTCTCTTTTATCTGTAAGGAGATCTTCTGCATTTAGTTGCTCTTCTCAAGTGAAACGAACTTTTCTGGTTTCTTTTCTGGTCAGACCTCCTGACATTTCACTCTTTCTGAAGCAGCAAATTGTGCTGTAGTCTGACAGGAATAACGTTTGTCTCATCAGATATGTTTTGTTCAGCTGACTAAGTCTGGTATGTTAAATAGTTTGGGTATATGAGAGTAATGTAAAACCCTGAACTGGGAGGTTGGAGGATGGATGCTTTGCATCGGTTCATTCCATTGAGTCTTTTATATATGTGTTACTGGGAGGAATGGAGGCGTTCACCTGTCCTAATTTATCTCTCTAAGTTGGATATTTTAATCAGAGTCTGTCACTACTTTTATGGTCAGTGGGAAGAAAGGGAATGAGGTGACTCATCCTTTGAAAATGCCTCTCTTCTTCTTTAACTGTAAAGGGAGCAGCAGTCTAAATTTTAGACGGCTGGGGTGAGGGAGCTCCAACTCCAGGCTCAAATGCTTAAGGCTCAATTGAGTTGTGCAAAGCTAGCTGTCTAGGCTATCCGAGGTGCCCTGGGGTTTTCCACGTAGCTTTCAGAAGGTTGTGGGTGTCCTACAGGTCCTGTGTGATAGCTGCCTGCCTCATGCAAGTGCCTTGGATACGCCAAGGCATCTCAAATGGCATCAGATGCCTGTGTTTAGGCCAATGAATCTGGTCTCTGCGATTAGATACCTATATCTGCTGCAGATGCCTAAGCTCCCATCCCAGTCAGTGCAGTACTGTTGAGAAGGGTGTAGCTGAGCAACTATGGTATAGGGGAATTCAGTTTGCTACACATAGGTGTCTTGTACCATTCGAGAAGCCCTAAGTGATCCCAGATGCTTGCACAGGCCTGGCAGATAAGGCACGGGACATAAAGACACTGGCACCGTTCTGGAAGACAGCCAGGTGAGGTACCCTGCGCCATCCGAGATACCTCTAGTGTATATGTTTAGGCAGCGGAATCCCCCAGGTGCCTATTTTTGGGTTAGATCTGACTATAATGAGAGCTGAGATGCCTAAAATGTAAGCAGACACGTACATTTAGGCGGCTGTCTGAATCTGGAGATAAATCTCCACTCTGTGGCCAGATGAGGTGAATTTTACCCATTGCACTTAGTGTCTGACTTTGCGTAGTGTCCCACTGTACTGCGTGTGCTGGCGGCTCAAACAAGCAGTGAGACCGTCCGCAAAGAGTTTACTGGGTGAGCATAAGAGAACAAGGCAACCGGGGGAGTACCAGAGAGGGATGAGGTAACATTGGCAGCAGGTCTAACATGTGAAATTTGTATGGAAAAGGCAAGTTAGTGAGATGAGACATCTTGAGGAGGAAAAGAAACCACACTATGGATGTTCTGCCTTTGCAAGCACGTGAGCAGAATGGGAGAGAGCATGGGTTTTGCTGCTGTTGCAACTATAAAATCTAGGAGGTCAGAAGAAGAAGTCAGTGTCACGCTGCTGAGATAACAGGTAGGTTAGAGATGATCGGTAGGTAGGGTAGGGTTTTCATTGGCTCTGTGTAGGAGAATCCAGTTTTGATGGCCTCAGGAACCAGATATATGTCTTTTGGAAGCCTCTGCTTTTCTTTTTCTTCCTCCTGCTTTCCCTCTTTCTCAACCAGAAACATTAGCTAAACTCATTTTCCATACCTAGCTGCTCTTTCCCCTGCAGCCAGTTGAAGTCACTGCCCTCTGCACTCTTGTGCCCTAGGTGGCAGCAGTGAAACTGGCTTTCTGCATGCTCAGGTATGAGCAGCTGCAGGCAGTATTTATTGCTCAAACAGCTTTTTTACATCCCCTGGAAAAAGATGATGAGTGAAACAGGGGGATCCTCTAAGCTAGCTATGATCTCTGGGCTGCCACGTAGACCTTACTGGAACAAGATATGTTAAGGGCCTAGTTAGTGACCAAAACTAGATGAACAGCAAAAACAGCCTTCCCATCTGACTTGTGGAATTACTAGCCTTTACTGTGGGTTTGAGCAATCCAGTGTTCCTTGTTCCACGACCATAATGGGGCTATGCAAAATCAGTATGAGAGCATTTACAGCTGAAGTATTTGAGGTATTGACAGAAGAGGAAATCACTCTGATGACCTTCAGATCTAAATTCTTAGAAACTGGAGGGATTTTTTTTTAATTTAAAAATGTCATTTGTAAAATACAGCAGGTGGGTTGTAGGACTGTTTAACCTTGAGGTTCTATTTGATAACTAAAGGAAAAGTCAGCTTTGTTTCTTTCAAAGGTCAGAATCCTCTTGCTCCATTGAAACAATGGAATTGGTTTTATCTGTCATACCACATTAGAGGTACCACTGCAAAGGTAACGTTTAATTATTGCCTGTAGGTCTGCCGTTTTCTTTACGAGAGGAAAATAAAGACTTTGTTTATCCTAAATGTATTTCTTCTAGTCACGCTTCATATTTTTGGTAATTAACTTTCCTTTCTTCCCAGCCTTATTAGCAATCCACACATCCTACAGTGCCTTCTCTTTCTATGTGTGCCCAATATAATTACTTCTTTTTTAAAAGTTACGTTTGTTAATCAAGCTTTTTCTTTTTCAGAACTGGACCTCTACCACTGTTGTTTGACAGACACAGCAAATTTTTAGGAGGGTTTTACTGTGAGCCTTGCTTCCTCTCATAAAATTAGGGAGTGTATGCATGTGGCTGTGTTTACATCTAAGTTTTGATCATATGTTCACCTTCTTTCTTTGGGCCTCAAAATCTGTCTGTGAGTTGGGGTTGCTATTTCCTAACTGTACAGGTGAAGATAAGTTCCTTCTCATTCCAACCATCCAGTCCTGTACAGGAAAAGTAGTCTGTGACGTGAAGGGGTCGGGGGGGAATCCCTGTACCACGTAGCAATGGATTCAGAAGCTGCTAAGAATTCATGTTAATTAAAAAGAAATATTAGAGTGTTTGCTCTTCTGCTGGGCAAAACAGGTGGGGAGAACAGCACGTGGTCATGTAATTAAAATCGACCACAGTACATCCCCACAAGGTCACCAAGGAACGTTAGTTAGTTCTGGTAGAGCTTAGCTGAGGAGTAAACAAGTGAAAGCTTGGTTTGCATTCTCTGTGAGAAGGGGTAGTTTTTATTCCTGTATCCAAAGCTGATAGGTGTTTTAAAGGATAATGCTGCTGTAGCTCCATTTTCTGACAGTCTTGAGAAGTTAAGGAGACCGCAGTAGCCGTCTGCATTTTGTGAAATGCTATAAAACGAAGTGTGTTCTTCACTGCTGTGCATTGACTGGCCAAAGGGGTTGAGTTAGCTTTAGCTAAGGCCTCCACTTAACTGAACTCCTTGCTGTAAATAAAAAGCCTATGCAGGCAAGTTTGAGGTCAGAAATGGGGCACTGAACAGAGGCATTAAATCCCATTAATGCTAAGCAGGATCAAATTCTCTTATGCATGTTTGAGAGTCCCAGGCTCATATCCTACAGGCGTTTTGGTGTGTGTACTTTATGCATGGGGCTTTCATGAAAAAGGATGTAAGGCACATGCCTGAGATTTGAGGGATTAACAGCAAACTTCAGGCTTTCACTTTGAACTTCCTGGTGGTTTTCTTAACCTTCTAGCTATTTTTGATCATGTTCAACTTACTTATCTGTTCCTAGTACAAAATACTTTCAACCCACCCCTGACTCTCTTTCAATTCCATGTTGAATGTTAATTGTTAAAGGCAAATAGGGTCTTGACCTGGCAAATACACACATACTTTGCTGTATCTGCATGATTGCTTCTTTTGAAATTAAGTAGATGGAGCCTTAGATATTATGACTTGGCAGAACTCCCTCGAAGTCAGTACGCTCAGGTTGTCTTGCAGCAGGTGAGGATTTAGATCAGTTAGTATTCCTGTGAGTTCAGTTAGAGGCATGGAGGGGTGTGAAAAATTGCAGGATCAAGACCTAGAGGAATTACAAATAGCATAAGAGAAAATATTTGAATAATAATAAAATGGGATTTTATTTACTTAATAAGACTGATAAAATATTTTTAGAGCAACAGATTTTTTTTGTTTTTTTGTTTTTTTTTTTACCTGTGGTCTTAGACCATAGAATCCACGGACTGTTTTCAAAGGCTTGGGAATGGCAACCAGGAAAAGCAAGATTTAATTCTGCTATGTGCTGATCTGCCTTTCTCCTGGGAATTTGTTAGAGAGCATCAAATTGGAAGTGTCGAAAATTGCCACGGTAGAGCATTGCTTCATGACTGGAAAGAAGTGAGACTGCTCTGGATGAGGAGTGGAACTAGGCCCAAGAAAGTACACTCTCTGGGACTTGGCTGGCTCTGTGAAGGCCACTAAGGTGCATCTGTTTTGCGTCCTTGAAATGGGAAGAGCCAAATGCATCTGGAATGAGGCAACTGGATTCAACCAGCCTTATTACCTTGGTTTTGGTCCTGGTAATGCAGCAAAAATGCCAGTAGCACTGCCGAGCAAAGGTGAAGAGGAGGCAGTGGTAGCTGGGAACTGAGGCAGAGGGACAGCAGGCAAGGAGCTGGACCCAGCAAGGGTTTATTCGGGCCAGCTTGGGGCTTAGGTAAGTGGGGAATGGCCTGGTCTGGAGGTTTAGTATCTTGAAGAGGTAGGTTATCCCAGCAGAGGGCATCCCTGCACTATTGCATGACATGTCTCAGGCTTTTGGGTAGCGTATTGGTATGCTTGGGATATAGTATTAGCACACGTTGTATGCTGGATACTGTGTTAGGGTTGGTGGTTGTTGTTCAAAGCCTACGCATATTCACAGTGGCTCAATTAGTGATAGGATGCGAGAGTGTGCATTTACTTTAGAGTCAATGGTGTAATTAGATGTAAATTAAGACTTATGAATGTTTTGCAGCATTTGATAGAGGAGGAATGAAAATTGAGAGGCAAAAGGAATAAGTTTGTGCCTCTCAGTTCGGCATT